CGGTGGAGTACTTCTGCCTCTACGCCGCCACTGCCATCTTGTTTGACTTCATCCTCCAGGCAAGAAAGAAGAGTCGAGTATGAGCCACACACTCCGAGGCATGGAAAATACAGTCCGCCTGAACTATGTTGTACAAGCGTGCCATTTATTGTTTCCCCTCTCGTCTACCACTACCCCGCCCTTTGTTTTCATACGGGCAGCAAGCAGGCTGCTGTAGTTCTTGGGGTTTGCGCAAGAGAACACACGCGGCTTTTTGAAATTGGGTTCGAACGAGGCTCAACGCCCGTGCCCGTCGTCTACTTGTTCGGGCCCCCACGCGCACGTGCTTCAAGTCGAATATCGAGTTTCGCATGTTTTTGAGACGAAGATCTTTGTGGGACTGCTAGTAAAGGTCTTACTCCTTGAGCCCGTTCCCCATCCCCACCGCTACTTCTTATCCAGATGACAGCTTTCGTAGCGCTTCTGACCATTGACGCCAAGCGTCAGAGCGCCGGCAGGATCGACTGCTACTGTTGTTTAACTAGCGAAACGCATCTCCAGCAGCAAGAGCGGCAGCACCAGGTAGGTGTGCGTACAACGCGTGGGGACGAACGTGAAGCCCAGTTTCAGGGTGTGGATGGGAGAGTCTCGATCCCATCTGTTGGCCCCCCAGGTGGCGCGCGCTGTGTATCGTAGCCCAGTCGGTGCCTCTGCCAATGGTTTGCGCAGGGCTGTCGACATACTTTTTGCAAATTGTTCCGAACTCTCGCTTCCCCTCGTCCCGGTTCCAGCATGATGACAGTTGTCGTCGTTCGCTATCATGCATGGGTGTGTTCGTCCCAGCTGCTCTCTGGCTCCAGTCTATGCACGCACCTATCGATGAACCAAGGTGTTGGTGGCGTTTCGGCTGGGATCACACAGGACGCAGGGAGGTCGCACTGAACCTTTGTTTTTTTTTTCCCGTCGACCTCCGATGTAAGCATCGGAAAAAAACCGTTCTGACATCCCCGCTTCATGCTCTCTCGCGAAACCGTTCGGTTTAGGAGGGTATCCAAAGAGGAGTCACGCTGCCTGCCAGCAACGGTGAGAGCGCCAACAACACCCAAGGGAAACACGCCGACGAGGCGGACGTGCGCCAATTGTCGACGATCGGAAGGTGCGCCGTCTCGGAATTTTCGCTGTTCTCCCGAAAAAAAAAATGATCGTTGTTGTTTTAATGCCAAATGGCCTGAATTTTTCCACTCTCTCTCCTGTCTTTCTTGCCACGTCGGTTGCACGCAGCTTTTGCCGGTCACGGTGTTGATACACCTTCGTCGGGTTATTTCGTGAAGGTTGTTTACCTGTTTCGTGCCACAGCTTCAAACATATGATCGCCAGCCCTTTTTGCACGCGATATTTTCGACGACCCACCCCGGGAATACGTTTGAGTACGCCGAAACTTCAACCAATCATGTTGTCGGCAGGTACAGTGCCCCTCCTTTCCCTGGTTGCCAGCTTACCATCCTCATGCACGGTTCATTGTGCTCTTTTGCGTGGCTCGTAGGTTAATGAAAGACAAGTACGCGCCTTTCGTTCTGTCAGCCAAGGGGAAGGCCCTGGTGCTACTCGCCTCTGCGGGGCTGCTTGCCGCCGGCATCTATGGCGTCACGCAGGTACTGTGTGTACTGACCGTCGACAGTCTAACGGATCATTCGGTGAACGGCGCCAGTCTGCGTGCGGGTCACGTTTTGTTCTCTCTGGTGTGTTCGCTGGTGCATACTGCTGTGTGTTTTGCGATGCCTCTTCTTCGCCAAATTTCAGAAGTTCGCACCATACCTCATGGAGTTTTTTCCGGGGGCTGCATGTTTGTCGCTGCCGGTGTTTGCTTGCAGCACACAAGAGGTTGAAACAAGAACGATGCAATCAAAACGTGATACCGTTTTACCATCTTTCGAGAAATACCGCTATATACGTGGAGAGTTCTTTCATTTCTTCCGGACCTTGATGTAGCAAGAATATTTTATCGTTTGTCACCGTTACCATAGAAACCAATTGCTGCGGCGTTCACTTGACCTGGTTTGTGTCTGTGGTTGGTTCTTCTTCTGTTTTCGTGCCCCTTACATCCGCCAGGCGACTCAAGGCTTGGACGTGCTCGACCTTGCTCCAGACGGCCACTTCTCAATAGAATGTGAGTGCTTGTCTACAGCGTATTAGTTGCTCCAGGTGCTACGTTGTTCATGGGCGTTTTTTTCACTGTTTCTCCTCCCGAAACCCGGGATTTCGAAGCGTTTGTGTGCGAATACCATGCTGAAGTCTTTCGGTTGCCTGCGATCGTCGGCCTGTGGTTTACGGAAACGGTTGAAGAGGCGGTTGCGTGTGCCGCACAACGGTAGAACCGTCACCGTGATCACTTTTCCCATTACAGCTGTTCCGTTTACCGTCCCACGACAGACACGGTGCGGTCGAGGTATTACGACTTCGACATCCAGGAATGGTACGTCCCGCTCAATGTCTACACCCAGGAGGTGGACTATCCCGACGTTGCTGTTCAGGTGAGGTGAAGGGGGGGAGGGACGTAGAGGTGACTGTAGACCCAGTAGCAAACCCGATAGCAGTAGCAGAAGCATCAGTAGCAGAAGCAACAACAGCGGCAGCTGCAGCAGCAGGGTCACAGCCGGTCCGATTCATGACCATTACAAAGCCAAAGCCAAGAGTTTACAAAGAAACGGTTGCTCTTTTTCGGAGAGAGGGAGGAGGCAGACACGGTTTTCCTTTTTGTGAAGCTCGTGAACCAAGCTCTTTCTTATTGTTTTTTTTTCCGGCACGCAGGCGGAGATTCAGTCCATCGATGACGAAATGTTGGAGCTAAATAACGTCGACGGACCGGTGGACTCGTGGCTCGCTTCCTTCATCGTGTGGGCAGAGGCCAACACCACCTACAGGTGTGTGTGTGTGTGTGTGTGTGCGTTTCTTCGTTGTGCATCGACTGCGGCAACCGGTTGCTTTGTACAACAAATGGCGTGTGAGTCCGTTCAGGTAAAAAATTGATATATATATAGGTGTGCATTTTTTTTTTTCTTCTTAGTATGACACAACGAATCCATCTCTATCATAGAAAAGAGTCTGAGACAGATTAGTTTTGTTTTTTTTGTGTTGACCGACGCAGTCCGACTGTCTCAGGGTAGTAGTATGTGTTTTTTGTCTCTACCGCGTGCGTCGATCTAGCAGAAGCGGAAGCGAAGATGCTTCGGAATTCTTGGCTCTGTTGTCGGTCCCGTCAATAGACAGGACGGTCTTTGGCTCCACATGCGAAATTGGCAACATTGTTCGCTTTCAGATCTCAGAGGAACCTGATTTCACGCCACAGTTGAAGCGAACAAAAGGACTCTTTCGGTCTCGCCCCGGAGGTATCAAAAGACATGGCTCGCGCATCGTAATAGACGATATAATTTCGTGCGGTGCATACGGTGCTCCAAGGATACCCGATTAAAGCATCATCGTCAGTGCCACCTTCTTTCAGCCACTCGCTGCTGCCTCCCCCGCCCGGCCATTGTCAGCGCACAATCTCTTCGACCCCGCTGCTGCCGCCTTTGTTCCTCACACCACTTTACCAACAACAGTGCCAACGTGGGTACGTCCGGGGGCTACCCGGTGTACGACGATCGGGATACCTTCTACACCGCTCTCTCCGCCTTCCTGGAGGACGAGGATAACGCCAGATTCTTGGAGGACGTGGTCTTCGATGACGACGGACTCATCAAGGTACAGTACTATGGTAGGGCTTGTTCGTGTCACGTTTTTTGTTTTCGTAACAGCGTGAGCAAACACGTGGGGGCTGCTTGAGGCTATTTTTGGTGGGAAAAGGCGGGGCTCTGTGACGTAAACCTCCCCTGGCGTGTTGTTCTCAGTCGCCGGTGCTTCCGAATTATTGTTTGTGTGTTACTTCTTGCTTTTACGCATGCAATCGAGAGCCTGCAACAAATTGTGTGTCATCAGTAGAGCGCCGCCAGGCTCGTCGTCACCACCTACGACGACGGTAGCTACAACGGTTCGTTACACGTTACTGCCTTTTTTTAGCGACGTGCCGACGTGCAAAGCCGCCACTAAAGCTTGTGTGATGGGAACGTACTATCGGGTTGTAGACTGGGCCATTTCGCTATTAGCATGAGCAATGATTGTAGGACAACCCTTATCTTTTATCGCTCGCTCGAAGAACAGAGCACAGGATCGAACATCGCACGAACGTGTAGGCGGAAACGAGGCAGGTATAACATGAAGGGTGACGAAAATTGTTATTGGCTTCCCCAACACCGCAACCGTGGCACCTTACGCTGAGATTCTCTCGTTTCTTTAATAACCCTGCCCGCCGGATCGTCGCATCTGTGTCTCAACCCCCCCCCTTGATGTATCGGGCGTGCTGCCCTCCGCTGTATCTCAGATAAGTCGATCGGAGATGTTCCTTATCAACCTCGTCGACACGGACAACAACTTGGACGCCCTCCTCGATACGAGAGAAGTCTCCGACCAATCAACGCTCGACCCTCAGCCGTTCGCGTACTCCGATGTACGTGCTATTCGCGCGGGCGTAGTGGGTTGTGCCATGGGATGTGCCGTGTACCGTGCACCGCAGTGTGCGGTGAAGCACGGAAGCATATAATGAAGGAACACAACAACCTGCTCGGATGCTCGGATCCAAAAGTGCCTCACGCGCATGTGAGAAGATTTCGTGGCCACCTCTTTCCCACTGCAGGCAGCGTTTGCCAACATCAGTGACGTCAGCCAACAAACGCAGACCAACATCCCTAACGTTGGCAGTAAACCACGGTCGGTTGGCTACAACAGGTATTCGGCTTCACGGAGCAGTACCTGGTCATCTACGATGAGCTGCTGGCGAGCTTCGGCCTCGCCTTGTTGGCGGTGCTCATCCTGAGCCTGTTCGTGCTGGGCAAGGTCGCCATCGTCGTCCTCGTCTGCGTCACGTTGGTGGGTAGTCGGAGTGAACTGCCGTAGGCTTGGAAGTTGGAATGCAAACGCTTTCGGCCTGAACGTTGATATTCCGTGGTGTCTGGGTTGAAGGGTGGAACAAATCAATACATTCCTCTTGGGCTCTGGCGTGAACGTTACTTGTGAACCGTCTTCATCCGTCAACGAGAGCAGCACTATCTTGAAGCCGAACGGTAGCTGTGTGTCTTGTACCACATTGCGATATTGGCACGACGCAGACAACACGTGGGTGCTAATCGAACACTATTCAGGCTAGTAGATGCTATCGAATGTCAAAGCTAGCCTGATGTTCGAAATGTTGCTCGTTCTGTGTACTTTCTTTGGTGTATGAACACCTTTCTTTCGTTCTCGTTCCCCCAGGTGATAATCGATGTTGAGCTGCTGGGCTTCGTTTACCACTGGAATTTGAACGTGAACAGCATCACTGTGATCGGTGAGTGTTCGCCTGCTATCTCTCCCTCTGTCGTCCCTGTTTTGTGTTGATGACAGTATTGCGAGTACTACAATGCCGTTATCGTATTTGTTGCCGCTGATGTTGATGATGATGTTGTTGTTGCTTCTGCAATAGCTGAAACAGACAACCCCGCCATGACGTGCTCAGATCACTCGTTCCCTGCCTACTTCCATATTGAGTACAAACAACGCAATGGCAAACACGTGGGAGTTGTCGTGTTGGGGAAATCGTCGAACGGGCTCTCCCATGCTGCACAGCATAGTGACCTTCGATATTGCCGTCTGTCGTGCCTACCATTCTGTCGGATCTGCTTCGGTGCTGCTGCCATTCACCCTCCCAGAGCTGATCATGGCCGTCGGGTTGGTGGTGGACTACATGGTCCACATTGTGCACTACTTCCTCCACCAGGTAAATGGTAGGATGTGTATGCCGCCTGCCTCCGCTCACCGTCGCTCTTGGTACAACAAGTCAGTGACGGTGTTTGCCAGAAACGCAGCATCGCTCCGAGCGTTTCTCTTGACCTTGACGACGAGTTTCGTTTGTCTGGCCTGCCAAGACGTGCTACGGCAGGCGGGAAAAACCCGAACGCGTAACCCCTCTTCTCCGCGCTTGCATCGATGACCCCGGATCGATGCCCAAGCGCTACGATCACTGACACCACACTACCTTACCCTTTCGCCGCGTCAACTTGGTGGTTGTGGGGTTGCGAAGGATTGATGGCATCGAGCAGCCACCGACCCACCCACACGCCGCTCTCTCTCTCTCTCCATGATTTGCCCTCTCTCTGTTTTTCCAGGACCCCAGCATCCCGAAGGACGCGCGAATCGCCGACGCGCTGGGGGAGATCGGTCCGTCGGTAATGGTGGGAGCGGCGACAACATTTTTGGGAATCATGCCCCTGGCGTTCGCTAACAACGTGATCTTCCGCGTGTTTTTCAAGATGTTTCTCGTCATCATTTCTTTCGGGGTACGTACGTTGCTCTTGTGTTCGCGCAGCATGGTTTTTTTGTTGCCCTTTCCATCCGAGTGGTAGCACGGCGAACCACCGTCATCACGAGATATAATACCTTCCAGCAAGAGTTGTGAAGGTGGCGTTTTATCGGTTACGGCGCTAGTGTGCACACCTTCCCCGTGTATTCGTTTGACGCATCAGCCGGGGTCCACCTGGAGGAAGGCCACGCAGGGTGGTTTTTTATGCTTCATGGAAATCGGCGGCGTAGGAATTATTTGTCCAGTGCGCGACTGTTTTTCGCCACACCTCCTCGCTCGTTGTGGATAATATTTTGACACCTCCTGCTCAAACCCCTGTACCGCACGCCTGACGTTCGTTCTTCGACTCTCGTTGTTTTTCTCACCTCCCCCGCTTTGGAACCCCCCCCCCGAATACCGGTCCCCCCCCGGTGTTTGCCATCGGGGTTGGGTTTTCGTCGCTTGGCAACGACGTTGTAAAACAAGCCGCCCCCCCCGGTGTTTGCCATCGGGGTTTGGGTTTTCGTCGCTTGGCAACGACGTTGTAAAACAAGCCCCCCACTCGGTGTTTGCCATCGGGATTGGGTTTTCGTCGCTTGGCAACGACGTCGTAAAACAAGCCAATTCGCTTCGTGAACTCGGCAACCAGGTTACCGTTTTTTTTGTTTACCTCGTTTTTTTTTTTTGCGGTAACCATAATGGTGGTCGAGTAGATCATGTTGTGCGGGGTCGAGAAACCTCACTCCGCGCAACGGGGGATGATCGCACCACGTTGTGTTAAAATGGTCAAGCACCCTCGAGGCAGTTACACAGTGCTTACAACTGTCTCTGGAAGTGAAAGCACCAGAAAATAAATTAAGTCATACGTAGCTGTCATCCGTACGCAAGGAAGTAAGCACAAGATGCCGAACACCCTTAGCAGGATGCAGCTCACCCTTCATGCGACTCGCCAAATACCTCACGGCGCTTCGCGCTTGGTGATGTGAGAGCCTGGTCCGGTGAGAACCCGGCGTGCTCCG